GGAGTAGGCCCTCGAGAGTATCGCATAGATTTTTAATCGTCACATCGGCTTCTTGATACGTTGGAATATCGTTTGGCTGGAAGTTGATATGCAGCTCGTTTTCGTTTATAGAAGATAGCCGACGGATAAGATGGGTGTCTGGTAACCTTTGCTTATTTTATTGTTATCTCTTCACTTATTTGTTCAATGCATTGTTCAATTATGCAGTATTCTTATAGTTATAGTATAATTAATATTTTTATAAATTTGATAGGAGCGTAAAGAGCCAACAGCCAGATATTCGTGCGAAGGTTATCGTGTATTAATTTATAACCATTGAACAATACATTAAAATAATTCATTCTATCACGTACATTGAGGTTTCAACCATCACATTATATGGTTCTAAGTTTTTCTCCTACCTCGTTCCATCTTGTGTGGACGAGCTTTCTACTATGTTTAACACAATTTAACGTGGTTTTAACTACTCTTCAGTTTATTATGTCAATTTTACTTCGTTTTTTGTATTTAATTTTTGCGTTGCGTATTTATTGAATTTTGTAATAACATTGATAAAGGCCTGATGACAGGCTGAAACGTTTGTATTTTAATGTATTGTTCAATGGTTATAAATTAATACACGATAATCTTCGCACGAATATCTGGCTGTTGGCTCTTTACGCTCCTATCAAATTTATTGATTTTAACAATCATCAGAACCTGATACATCTATAATTTTTAATATTTTTATAACTAATAATACAGTTAACACTAATCATAACTTTAATCTTGCTCTTTGGATGAATTTTAGATGGACTTGTACAGATTTCTTTAATAATGTTCTGTTTTTTGAATTTTACCATTGTCGGGACATCACAGTTTCAACTCTAAATGAATGTAGGTAGGATATTGAACAAGAGTCGGTAAAAATCGCACGAAAGCGCAAGTTAGCCACTCTGCAGCTTCTCTCTGGAACTATGTAGGACCAACCACGTATTTTCCCAATGGGTAACAGCTATCCACGGTTCGATTCTGTGTCCTTTTCATATTATTTTGTTACCTACCTGCATTTTTATAAAGCGCAAAACATGAAATTTTCTTTTTTAACTGATTTCAGCAAAAACTATTTACGCTTTGATGTTTTTAAAGTAAACATTACTTTTTAGCATACATTAGAGACGTGCTTATTTTTATTCAAATATTTCTGTTACATGATAAAAAATGTGTAGCAAAACTCTTAACAGATTTGTTTCAAAAATATTTTTTTATCTAACAAATTTAGGTTGTTTCTAAAATCCGTATGTTTTGTATTCAGTCTATTTATTTAAAGCTTCTGTTCTCAATTAAAAGTTAAATAAAATGTCAAAATTTTATTATGATGATGCTAAATACTAATTATCAATATATTTCCGATAAATGTTAGTTTTGAACTCGCATATTTTTGATTGCTCTCTTTGACTATGAACATCACCATTTCGCATAGATATACATGCTTAAGTACCAAATAATCGTACATACAAACGAGCACAAACGAGCGTTTGAGCGATATAGAATAGCCAGAATTGTCATTAAGCCCCGTGGATGGTTTCCCATTGGGACCCGTGGGATTTCCCGGCTGCGTACTACACTCGCGATGCGCGTATGTGCGGACGCGCGTGTATGTGCGTACACGCATGTCTGTACCCCGATTCCCCTGATTCTTATATCGATCCGACAGATCTGATATCATCCAGCGTTATCCCTTGGGCTCGCACTC